TAATGAAAACTCACCTAAATTGAATCTTGAGTTACATGCTAAATATCAATCCATATTGATGAAATTGAGTTACTTGGCGCAACAAACATGTCCTGATTTGGCTTATGCCGTAAATAATCTTGTGTAATTTAATAGTAGTCCACATGAATGTGATTGGTATGCATTTAAATTATACGTTACGATATTTGAAAGGAACTTATGATTATGGTTTATATTACTTGCCTCATAACCTTAATAGTATTATGATTGACACTGACATGATTTTAAAACCTGAAGTTCACGGACCAGAAGGTTACGTTGATGCTAGTTATGGTGAAGAAATAAGCCGTAAATCAAGATCTGGTTATATGTATTTTCTTGGAAATTGTTTAGTAACTTGGCAATCACGAAAACAAGCCAATGTTGCATTATGTTCAACTGAAGCTGAATATACCGCATTAGCAGAAGGCGTGAAAGATGTTTTATGGTTAAAGAATTTACTTACTGAAATTGGATTAAAAATTGAACATCCCATTAAGATTAATCAAGATAATAAATTGGCTATTGCTATCGCAATGAACCCCATTGGTCACCAAGGTGTGAAACATATGGATGTTAGATTATTTTTTTTACGAGATCATATTGAAAAGAAAGATGTTGAATTAGTTTATTGTCCAACTGATATTATGATTGCTGATATACTTACAAAAGCATTACCAGCAAAACAACACAGTTTATTTAACAGTTTACTAGCTGAAATGATGGGTTTGAAAAGTTATGAATATTTACAAAATCTATTGACCAAAGATGTTATTGAGCATAAAGCTAGTTTAATTTATGATTTAATTGACGTGAGTGGATATGTGGAACCAAGCTCCTTCGGGTTTTTTGTTTAGAATTTTTCCCAATACTTAAAATTATTGAAGACTGGCCCACAGACCACATGAATCATTATACTTTGATGTTTCGCATTATGATTGTTTAGATTCGAGCTTTTTATTTAATTTTTCCCAACATTATTGAATTAACATTGAATACACGTTTGATGAAGTTCTAGTTTGCAGGGGGCTGTTGAATATTGAAGTTTGAATATATGATCTCCCAAACTAGAACTATATTATTTTGTCCGATTTAATATTAATTATTGACATCATCTCACCACCTGAGGAGACAGTCCACATGGCAGTCTCTAAAGGTAATAGTTGGTTTTTAGGATATAGATGATGTAATTAAATAATTATTGCGGACATTTTTCTTTAATATTTATTCGTACATTTAGACATTTCTTTTATTTATATTTAGGGTTTTTTGTACATTTAGATCGTTTTCTTTTAAAAAGGAAAAATGAAAAATAAAGAATGTTGAGCAATTTTTCTGTTTTTTCCCTACATCATCGTCCCATATTACATCGTCCAGTTCCTAATTTCCTACTATTCAACACTGTTTCAATCTCACAAACATGATGAAATTATTCATTCGTGGTCGGATTTGTTTTGGAGATCATGAAACTTGAACAAACTCTGTATTGATTGACTTCTTCCGAAATTTAAATAAAGCAAACAAAGTGTGACTTATCAAACAATGCATTTTTGTTCTAAATTGAACATCTTTCTCTAATTTGCCCGTATGAAGATAAAGACAAGTGGACTGAGAAAGAAAGAGAACAAAAGAGAAAGGTAAAAGAAAAAGAAAGGATCCCCGCTCGCGGGATCGAACCGCGTGCCTTGAGATGTCTTTGATAACCGTTACAGTCTCACGCTCTTCCAGATGAGCTAAGCGGGGTTGTTTTTTTGTTGTTTTTTGTTTTTGTTGTTGTTTTGTTTTACAGTTAGCCTTTGTATGTCTTTATGACTATCAGATTGTTC